TACTTCTGGTACACCTCTCGATCACTACCGCAAGAGAGTGACTGCCACGACACACACACGCACACACACACACACACACACACACACACACACACACACACACACACACACACACACACACACACACACACACACACACAGAAAACGCAGACCCGGTTCAAATATAAAAAAGGGAAGTGGTCTATCCACTTCTTCGGATCCATTGCAAAATCAAACATGACGAAATTGTCCGTCCCGGCGTAGGACAGCAGCCCGCGGCAAATCCGAAAATGAGTTTGGATACACATGTCGCAACACACAAGCTCTATGAAAAGTTATTGGAGACTAATTAAAAAAAAAAAAAAAAAAATCGCTAAAATAAACGAAGGACACACGTCGACAGACGTGAATTGAAACGGGGGACTCAAATACCCGTCCGGACGACCAGACACTACCAATGCCGTCATAACGATGGACTCGACCAGGCAGACAGGAGCAGACACAGCGGCTAATGCTCGCGGATGGCCTTCGCTATCTCAAGCAGAGCATGGCACATCAGTTTGCTAACTTCGTCGGACGTAGCGTAGTGTTTCTTTTGCACCTCAACCTCCGCTTCCAATGCCTCGCACTGCCGGATTTGGATTGAACACTACCGTTTGTTGTTGCTTTCCATCGTCGATGCCACCAGAGCCCCGTGCTTCTCCATGCATTCCGACAGAGCGTCGAAAGTTTGTTGCCTCATGCTCTTCCTCTTGCCGAAGCCAGCAAGGCCTCCCGTCGTCTGAGAAGAACCTCTCGTCGACCCGTCGTCGTCGTCGTCCAGCCCTACAGCAGCGTCCCGATCCCCGACAGACTCCGGATCACCAGAATTCGCCGACGGCAGACGCACACCCCCCGGAGCACCAGTGTCTGCGACGTTCTTGGGGTTAATGGTATGGCTCTTGGCAGTCGACCCCAGGATCTCGTCGTAAACCGCACGATCCATGTTGAAACCGAAGCCCTTCGACAACCGCTCCTTCCCTGTGAACTTGAAGAAGTCCTGTTTCCCGGACAAGCCTTGGAAGTGGTGCACCTTCTTGAACTGCTGCATCAAATTATCCCACTTCTTCCCGCACCGTTCTGCCTCCCTCTCCACGCCCACCTTCTTCAGCCTTTGCTCCACATCCAACCACTTCTCAGCTTCGACGTCACTCCCCTTCCCCATCGCCTTCTTCCCCCGCTGACCGTTGCGAACAAACGCCTTCACCCTCCCGCCCTTCCCCCCTATGCTGCTTTGCTTGGATGGCGACACTTGACCTGCGTCGTCCTCCCCACCCCCGCAGTCGTCGTCGTTCAAGTCCTCGTCGTTGCCGCCGACATCAGGTGCGTCGCCGTCGTTTTCGTCGTCCACCACTCGCAGTCGCTGCACGCCCCGTGTTATGGATTCTTGCCTTCGCGGATGGAGCATCCGTCGCTGTTCTTCCCACACCTCCCTCCCGTCGCTTTTGTCACCTCTTTCCTCGATCCCGCAATCATGTTCCCCACATTCCCCCCGATTGCGAGCCGCACTCGAATTGCCGGACAGGGGAGACGGGGACAACATCCACGACGGGCGAGCCGAGGCACCCCTTGAAGCAGACGGCGCCCTGTATTGCTGCGTATGAGGATCCCTGTTGTTCCCCGACGCCACGCGGACCGACGACGTTGGAGACTTCGACGGTTGTGCAACAGCCGTCACGTGGCTGCCATCGTCATCGGGACGGTTGTCGACTAGCACTGTCCGCATCGAAGACGACGACCTCCCACTGCACAGACCGAACGTCAGATTCACACCTCCATCTCCTTCGTCGCCGCTCAGGCCCTGCTTGAGGAGCTGGGTGTACGACTGCCCGTAACTGGGCTCCCGGCTTCCACAAAGCTCTGTGGCCGTCCACTCCTGCGTAGACCCGCTTCCCAGCAGCACGGCATGTGAACGTCTATCGTCCTCCTCCTCGTCCGATGTGTCCGGCAAAGGCTGCAAGTGCGGTGGCAGGTGCGCGTACTCGGACCGCTCCACCGCCCTTGAACCTCTAGACGGGCTCTGCCCGGCTCGTTGGCCACCACCCTCACCCCCTGCAGACCTGCAAACCACCTGCCGCCCACCCATACTAACGTCCTTCTTTGCACACCGTCGCCTGCGCCCACGTCGCGGAACGATGCCGACGACACAGACGTGGAAGAGCACTACGAGGATAAGCAGGAGGACGACCAGCACCAGCAGTGGCAGCCTCCGAAAGACGTCGGCCATGAAACGCACGTGGACGATGCAAGCACCTGCAAGACAGCCGTGGACGTGCAGGAAATGGTGACGGACACTCTGCCGAAAACGGTCGATCGCAGTTAACCACAAACGGTGGGTAACATGGTCCGTCGCGGAAGACACAACGCGATCGGGAAAGCAGGGGCGGCCTGAAGTATTCGAATCTGCCGACCGTTGGCCGCTTTCCCACCACAGTCGAAGGGCGGCAACGCAAGGCAGCCCCTTTCCGACGTCGCGAAGGACGGCAGGCCGCCGAAGGGACCGTTGGCGGAGTATTCCATGACGCCGACCGTTGCCAACCGAAGATGTCCGTCCACGGGCCGCCAGGAACAGCAATGGACCAGCCGCGTCAAAAATTGTCGTCGAGAGAGCTGCCGTCGACGCTCTGATTCTTCCGGACGCTGGACCTCCAAGGGACCTCAGGAGGTCCCTTGGGGAAAGCGTCGAAACGGCTGTAGCCCGAGGAATCCCGGAGAAAACCCCGACGAAATGTTTTCACTTTTTTTTTTCGTTTTGTTCCCCGAGGATAGAAGGAACGATGATTTCCTCGGGGATTTTACGCGCCCGAGGAGTGTCGAACGAGCCCCCCTGTCCCTTCCACTCTCTTCAGTCTTTTTTGTGTGATGAATGGCATGTGTTTAAGGCAATGATTGATATGTGTGTATGAGTTTCTGCCCCCTCTTTTTTTTTTTTTTTTAAAGAATGGGCCCACTGCCCAAGGCTCCAATTATGAAATTGATTACAACACTTATACGCACGCCTCTTCCCATTACGGCTGGAAGAGTCTCAGCCACTGCTCCCCTGAAGACAGCTTCCTTGCATTATACAAATGTAGTATAGTCGCGGGCATTGATTGCTTCCCCAGTGGGGAAGGATTAACCCCGTTGTGTGCTGAATCAATCTCTACCCTACGAAACTCCTCGATTATCCCTACTTCAATCTTCTACACGTTGAGGAGTAGGGGAGATATCAATAAGGCACAGAGATTGATAACAGGGCAAGAAAGTTTAGGATTTTATTAGTAATTACGACAGGCTTACCCTAAACACCAGTAGTTAACACAGACACAGACGAAAGGGGAGCCCAATGGCTGGAAGAAAATTGTAGTCTATGCGTAAAGACCATCCAACCAAATCAAGCCCTGACCTATGACAACCAATTTCACTATTACAATCTCTTATCTAAGGTTGCCCGCACCAACATGCCCCCCACGATCCTACTTGGCAACAAAACCACTCAAGTGGGGGAGGCATTGTTGCAAAACAAGTCAAAGCAAAATACCCACGTAGCAGGACACCAATCAATCGCATAGGCATTTTGGATGCCTAATACCACTGCACCTCATGTCCTGCCACGTGGTAGAAACCTATGTTTATAGCAAAAAGAATGTGCCCACCAGCAAACKGGTTAATCGAAGGTGCGCTCAAGTGGGAAAAGTTGAAAAAAAGTCAAATCACAATACCCACGTGACAGAGCATAAATCAATCGCATATGCAGCCCCGGTGCCAAGCCTCACAGCACCTCCAGCCCTACCACCGGGCCAAATCCTATGTGTATCGACACGTAGAAGAAGTTAAAATCACCAATTCCACATGACATATCAATGAGCGACCACATGAGCAAACCCTACCGGCTATATTGCCACGTGGCCAATAACAGATGCGGTAACGCCAACCAACCATGGACACCGACCTGGCAATCTGGCATTCGTTATCCTACTGCCCCTTCGCGCCAGCATCCCGCTCCTTGCTCCCCCACACACCCTTCCACTTTACAGACCAATCCATTCGACCGACCCACTCGCCCTTCCCCCCATCAACACCGAAACACCGGAAGAAAGAAAACAAGAGGGGAGGAAAGGGTGGGGGGGGGGAGAATATCCAGTCGCACTTACCACACCGTTACTGTTGTTATTTTTATTGTCGTTGTTGGTATCGTCGTCGTTGTTGTTGTTGTTGTTGTTGTTGTTGTTGTGTTGTTGTCGTTGTTGTCACTCCCGGACACGCACGAGTTCAGGATCACTCCTTCCATGCCACTGTCGTGCACAGTATCATTGTTGTTGGTGTAGTTGTTGTTGGTGGTGGTGGTGGTTTGTGCAGATGTCAGCGTTTTAGTCGCAGGCACTATTGTTATGATTGATGTCGCTGATGTCATCATTGTTTGCGCCATTTCTGTTGTTGAACGCCCCAAGTCGTATGTACTCATCGTGGCAGGCACAGGGACAATGATCATTGATGTAGCTGATGAAAACGTGGTTGCAGGTGTCGGTGAGATTACTGGAGCTGGTGCTGCTGGTGAGACCGTGGCCAACATGGTGATTGGCAGCTCCCCTCCTGAGCACTTGGCCCAGTCAACACCTCACTCGAGCCCCTCATCAAGGAGCATGTAACAATGGCTGGATAGGGCTTTCACCTGACGTTAGTCAACAAACTCGTCCAGCTTAGGAACCGGCCCCTCCTCCTGCACCCAAATAACCTCCAACATCGTCTGTATCACATTTTCCACCCATTTTGCCCCCGCGATCGCTCCCCCAACAACCGCTGGTGGAGGCGGAGTGGAGACAGAGAGGAGAGAGACCATATGTTGAAGATGTTGTCTGTTGTCTTCCATGTTGGATAGCCATGCATCAGCAGTTTGTCAGAGGTTTCCATCAGAAGCCATGTGGCCAACATCAACTTACCTGTAGTTCTGTCGCTGTTCCTATTGTCGCGCAAACACACTCCGGTAACAGTAGACACGATGCTCACTAAAGCTTTGCTGCCATTACCGCCGCCACGCGCCGCCCTGACCCTCCACCGTTTCGAAGACGACCTCGGCAAGTCTGAGGACCTGGACGGATGCCCGCCGAGCCTTGTTAGGAGGGAGCGCTCCTTGCGTTCATGCGTCGCCCTCCAAAAGACCACCTGTGTGTGTGTGTGTGTGTAAAGCCCAGGTTGTTGTACAGGTTGGTTACTACACATACGTCAGTCACCTTCAGTAGTCGGCCATATGGTTATCCAGATGGCGAGGTCTTCATCATTCCTTCCCGGGCTCCCTCAGTTTATGCCCCCTCTTATTTTAACGATCGAAGTTTCACCGAGTGAACTTCAAGTTAGTCGAATGTAGAAATAAGTTGGGAGAGAAGTAATTTCTTATATGGCCGAACTGTTGTTTTTATGCATGGTTTATTCTTATTTCTCTCCTCCCTTGAATGAATGTCAGGTAGTTGTTTTTTTTATTGGATCAAATTGCACGGACTCATGCCTCTAGCTAACCTACGTCATGACTTGGAGATAATGAGAACCTGATGTTATTTTTTGTTCATTTCGATCGAGTGACGGATTGAGTACATGAGCTAATTAGCTCACTTATGCCATGTGGACCAATTCTATTGATCCGACTGGGCTCCGACTTTCCGTATCCCCACAGCGCTCGTTCCCATACAACGAGGAAAGAACAAGTGCATATGAGTGAGACGTACGAGATGCCAGCGCAAAGATCGAAGAGCGTTATTATTTTCCTCCCAAAACAAGGTGTTCAGGATTCGTAGGCGCTGGTTTTGTTACCATTGATACTAATTTCCCACCTTATCCCTTATTATTGTCTTTAAACGAGTTGATTGTCATCCCATGGATAGTTTGGGCACCCCATTGGCCCAACACTCTCTGTAGCAGTTGTCGTCGCACCAAGCGTTATCGAAAATGGGGTTCCACTCCCGGCCATGTGGCGAGGACGAGAATAAGGAAAGAGCAACCATGATGCGGCCTTCCACGTCGGATTTTGAGCTTTGCAGTAAGCGACGATGGGACTTAATCCGGAAACGAGATCCCACATATGTGCCCCCATCTTTCCAATCGGAAAAACGTAGAGTAGCCCGCATGGAAGTTCAAAGATAATTTTTGGATTAACCAAACATTTGAAAGTCACGCGCGCTTGTTTTTTCTCGTGTGGCGATGGTCATTTCTCACTAAAATTGGAACCACACGGGAGTTTCTGGTTCTGTCGGGGTCTCCACACTCAATTTTCCCAAAAACGTTTGGCACCCAGGGCCACGCCCTATCTTTTTGTTATAAAACTGGAACCACGTGGAAGATTCCTGTTCTGTTGGGATCTTCACACTCAACTTTTGTAAAAAAAATTGGCGCACCCCATCTTGTTGTTCTTTCAGGGCTTGTTCCGCGTCAGTCGGAATAGATTAGTTGTGGCAAGAGCAGAGGCAGCCATGGTCAACGCTAATGTTCCTACTCATCGGGTAATGGTAAGCATTCCAACCACCGTTCCATTCTATCCCAATCACACCCATCGTGAAGCATGGCTCGAAGTTGTAGAAGCCCAGGGCTATGACGCGGCTATCTTCCTTGGGTGATCACCCTTCTTGTAAGAAATCTAGCTCATGATTGGTTTAAACGCCATAGGTGGGTAGATTGGGCTACGTTTAAAATGGCCTTCTTAGCAAGACTCGATGAGGTAAGTGAGGACGCTGCATGGTTCGTATTGAAAACGCGCCCTCAAGAACCAGGGGAATTGTTGTCAAATTTTGCAGATAAATTTCAAACAACTTCGATAAATCTGGACGGGAAGAGAATGTTGATCGAGGCTGGCTCATAGATCACCTCCGCAACCCGGTCTTGAAGACGAAATTAAAAAAGAAAGTCCCTCCCAAAACGACCCAGCTATAGGAGATTATCGCGAAGGCACTCTGGACTCACAAGATATGCGAAACTACATAGATCACGGTGCGAAAGAATAGCTGATATGATAGACGAGGTGGCTGCCAAAAAGTAATATTGGCTAAGATCAATTGGTCAGTCTTACCACCACCACGATCCCGAAAATGCAGGCGGGCCACGGCAAGGTCTTGCACCTTAAACCACCAGAACTTGGCCCAGCTATCAAGTCTGA